GAGACACCTGTAGAGCTCCTTTATAATCACCCAGTTACGTTGTGACGTTTGGTAGCACACAAAGTGTTCCTCCGGCAAACGGGAGTTGCATAATCTCACAGTCATAGGAACATGTATAAGTCATGAAGAAAGCAATAGCAACATCTAAACGATCGGGTGCTAAGTTAATGGAATGGGTCATGTCAATCACATCATTCTCCTAATGATGTTATCCCGTTAATCAAATGACAACACATGTCTATGGTTAGGAAACATAACCATCTTCGATTAACGAGCTAGTCAAGTAGAGTCATACTAGTGACGTTTAGTTTGTCTATGTATTCACACAAGTATTATGTTTCCGGTTAATACAATTCTAGCATGAATAATAAACATTTATCATGATATAAGGAAATAAATAATAACTTTATTATTGCGTCTAGGGCATATTTCCTTCACTTGGCCCATGTGGATGCCAAGAAGGCTCATCGGGAGATGAAGGCGATCATGAGGAAGCTTGAGATCCCAGTTCAGGATGGCTCTGAGGACCGTATCACTGCGGAGGACAAGTGGATTTCTTCGCACTCTCACTGGATGGACTCGGATGAGTCCAATGCTGCTACTTCTCCTCCAGCTCAGGATCAGGAGATCAGGGAGGAGACCGATGGGTCTGAGGAGGAGTCTGCTGATGGGTCTGATTCTAAGGAGGAGTCCGGCAAGTCCATGGGAGGAGACTAGTGCCATCCAGAGTTGCGTTAGGTCACTCTCTGCTCCTTTATGGTGTCTCGATGCCGAAGGGGGAGAGGTTTAGGACCGGGGATTTGTCTTTCTGCAGGGTGTTGTTCAGTCACAAGCTTGGTTCTTGTTGCTTGTGTGTTTCTGCTTGGGAACTCTTTTCCTTCGTTTGGTTTGGTTTGTTGTGAGACTCTATCGTATGGTGTAAGACATATGCTACCTTGGTTAATCTTATTATGTCTCTATGTGCACGAATGTTTGATCTTTTATCTTTTTAGTTTCCTTGCTTAAGTGTCCCTTATATCTTTGCAAGGATTGCCCGGTCTATAAAATATAGGGGGAGTGTTGATCCTAGTATGTGTGTTGTGCAGTCCAAAGCACATCTATTGAATGCACACATCTAGGGGGAGCTTGTGTATATTTTATAAATTTTTGGGTTTGCTAATGCTCATTATATATCTCTTTGTGCAAATCCCATATTGTCATCAATCCACCAAAAAGGGGGAGATTGTAATGGCATATTTCTCCCTAAGTGGTTTTGGTGATTGATAACAATGCATTTGCGAACTAATCGTGTGCATTGAGCATTTCAGATATCTCATGGCTAGGCACTGGACGATTCGACGCCCCTCAGAGCCTTTCGAAGACGGCGGTTTTTCTATGTTTCTTTTTTAGTAAATTTGAGTCGTAGGAAAGCCGTACTATTAAGAGGGGATCCGCTTTGGAAAGGTATGGGTGGAATCGACACGTACACAGCCCCATATGCACCCACAGCCTCCTTCCCATCTCCGGAGCCTTTCCTATGTTTTTGTAGTGTTTTCAGAATCTTGCCAGCGGTAGTACCTCCTGTTCCTACCGTAGTATCGCTTATGCGGTAGTACCACTGGTACTTGCGTGGTAGTGCCGCTTAGGGTTTCCTCGAGCATGCAACTTTCGGTTGTCTGTTTGTAATTCATGGTAGTAGGGCAGTAGTACTGTGGTAGTACCGCTCCGGCGGTACTATAGCCCATACTACCGTCCCCACTACCACTTGCGGGGTTTTCTTACATGCAAGGTTCTGTTCCCACTTTGCCACAAGCGGTAGTAGAGCGGCACTAGGACGGTAGTACCGCTTGGCACGATACTGCCGCCCCTGGCACCCTCTACTACCGCTGCCTCTCCAGGACTAAGACCCAAAGCGGAAGTACCGTCTGGTCAGCGGTAGTACCGCTCCAGCGGCACTACCGTAGATACACTATGTGTAGTCTTAGCCCTATCCGGAGTTGTACCACCTAAGTAGTAGTACCGCTCCTAGGAGCGGCAGTACCGCTTAGCTGCGGGCTGGGCAGAAAACGGTTGGATTTTTGCACCCCTATATAAAGGGGGGGGGGTCTTCTTCCTCCTAGAGTTGACCTCTTCCCTTCCAAGCTCCATTATTGCTCAAAGCTCCATTTTCGCCCGATCTCACTCCCTAGCCAATCAAACTTGTTGATTTTCTAGGGATTTGTTGAGAAGTCCCGATCTACACTTCCACCAAGAGAAATTTGATTCTGCCCACTAATCCCTTGCGGATCTTGTTACTCTTGAGTGTTTGAGCACCCTAGACGGTTGAGGTCACCACGGAGCCATATTCCATTGTGGTGAAGCTTTGTGGTGTCGTTGGGAGCCTCCAATTAAGTTGTGGAGATTGCCCCAACCTTGTTTGTAAATGTTCGGTCGCCGCCTCCAAGGGCACCAATAGTGGAATCACGACATCTCGCATTGTGTGAGGGCGTGAGGAGAATACAGTGGCCCTAGTAGCTTCTTGGGGAGCATTGTGCCTCCACACCGCTCCAACGGAGACATACTTCCTCTCAAAGGGAAGGAACTTCGGTAACACACCCTCGTCTCCACCAGCTCCACTCTTGGTTATCTCTCACCTTTACTTGTGCAAGATATATTGTGTTGTATCCCTTGCTTGCTCTTGTGCTTGTTGTTGTTGCATCATATAGGTTGCTCACCTGGTTGCATATCTAGACAACCTACTTTGATGCAAAGTTTAATTTGGTAAAGAAAAGCTAAAAATTGTTAGTTTCCTATTCACCCCCCCTCTTGTCAACTATATCAATCCTTTCAAACATGTTCTTGGGGTCCTTGATATCTATATCCGCAACAAGGCATCACTTATGAAGCACTTGCACAAATTCCTAAACAATGAAGATAACCTCTGGGTGAAAATTATTAGGGTATCTTATTACTCCAATGCACCTTCCCCTCACCCTAATGGAAGAATGATAAGCTCATTTTGGTGGAAATTAATTCTTAAACTTTTACTTCTATTCAACCAAGTTACTAAATTCATGTCATGCATTAGGAACTTTGTCATTTTCTGGGAAGAAAACTAGTTGGATGTAGCTTCAGAATGAGGTTATCACAACTTCTTTCTTTTGCGATGCGGGATAACATATCTCTTAAGCATATGATTCCACTAATAAGCCTCGAGGACTATTTCAATAGACCACTATCTATTCAAGGTCATTAGTAATACATTAAAATCTAAAAAACACTATGCTATCTAGATAAAACATGGATCGAGAGGATACATGGAGCTACCCATGGATATAATTCTACTCTACTGACAACCATGTATAAGCTCTTCAGAGGAGAAGCCATTGCACACACCCTTTTTACTCACCTATGGAAATGTGATAGCATTCTCATATATATGATCTTTCACCGGTTATTGCTTCATGACAAAATCATTACAAGGAACCTCTTGCATAGAAAGTCTTTTCACCTACAAAGCTACAACTGTGTGCTATGTAATGAAGATTAGGAAAAAAAACTCCGCTTCATCTATTTTGGAACTGCACTTTTGCTCAGGATTGTTGGTTGGAAATTGCGCCTAACAAGTTGAGGGGTATCTCTTTCCATGATGAATATATCTTGACAATGAAAGATCATCCAAATTACATTGTCGTGGATATCATCAATGCCAAAGGTTGGGTCATTTTAAAAATGACAAGATTTTTCGTAGTGCTACTCCACACCTTCAAGGTTGGAGCTACATGATCAAGAGGGTTTCAAAGTAATAAGACTCAAACCTAAGCATCATGTTGCCACCAAAATTTTACTTTATATATACTTTGGGCATAACTTTATTTAATAGAAAATTACCATATAACTATCATTCTATGGTTCCAAGGGCAAAAGAAAGATTGAAAGACATGCATATGCACAAAGACCACCATATATACTCGAATCTACTCATAAATCTGTGAATCCCACTAACTAAAATCTTATAGAAGACATGCACTTGTGTGTAAAAGCAAGCACCATGATTTCCACTTTGTGTATTTTTTGCACGGGATAGATAATATATTGATCTTTAAAATATGAAAATCTATAAACACGCAACTTACTTTTCTTGCTATGAAACGAACAAGTTACTTGAACATTACATGTTTTTGTTCTACACTCTCTTGAGTACACATTTGAAATTGTCTACCTCTTCCCCAGCACAAAACATAGCTATTGTGCCCCCAAGAAATGATATATCCCAATCAAGAAGATGTGAAACTTCTTTGGAACAAATCACACATGGAAAAACAAAAACAAAAAGATTAGCGGCATGATCGCAGTAGCCGAAGGTACCATTTAAAGCGAGATTTGAATTTGAAACTATTTCCAGCTGGATTTGTCTTTTTATTTATTGGTGTGTGCATCCTAAAAGTCTAAAAAGTATCCGTTATCCCATTTCCTTATAAGTTGTAAGGGATTAAACTTATAATTTTTACGGGATTAAACTTTTTCATCTTGTAGATCTTAATCTCCCAACCAATTCAACTCCACGTAGAAGCCTATTTTCAGGTGCGAAGAATGAGCCAAGAAAGTAGGCAAAAATCGTCCTCCACCTGGCAAGGTTTTGACACCTATTCTTCTTAATGGGTTGTTCTCATCTTTGTGTTAGATAATGCACGGTAGGCGTGGTGAGAAATCTTCGAATCATTCAAATATCCCAGTTAGATGAGAGATATGTGTCGGCTTGGAGATATGATTAGATCCATCGCCTCATAATCCGAGTTGATAACCAAACCGCGTCTGTTTCAATCCGTCTCTAGTTCTAGCTTGGCTTCGCAATCGCAAGAAGTTCCTCTCCAATCCCTTATATAATTCTAGCTCCTCCCAACACTTTATACACTGAAACTTCGTACAGCGAGAGGGATAGCAATAGCGTCACCGTGAAGGCAGGAAAGACGAAGCAGGGCCAAGAAGCAGATCGCGTCCACCTCCTCTAGTCAGTGTCTACCCACGGCCAGGCGGCGCGTATGACCAAGGGGTGTGCAACGCTCTTGGTGGGCAACGACGGGGAGGCTTCACGGCAGTTTGCGGTATCGGTGACGCTGCTCGCGCATCCCACGATCATCGAGCTGCTCGCTGAGGCGTGGGAGAAGTACGGGTACGCGCCTGAGGGCGCCATCGTCGTCCCCTGCAGCTTGGAGTGGTTCCAGAGGGCGGTCGACGTGGCGAGGGCCCAAGAACGGCGCCATCACCATCACCACCTCCGCCTTCCGCACCTCATCGGGTGCTTTAGGCCGCCGCATGTTATTGCGTAGGGTTGATACGCGCGGATTTACTTCTACCTCGTTTGTGCGGCCTTTCTTGGTTTCCTTGTGAGGTCATCGAATTGATAGACACCCCCATGATCGGAGAAAGCTTAGTACAATGTGTTGTATCTACTTGATCGAACCTCCAAGAAGCATGCAGATTCCATATCTATTATCGATCGATACGTTGGAGCATAATTTTGTAGCCCCGAGATTAATTGATTGATTGATTGATTATGTACAGTTTTTGTTGCATATGCGACGAGAATTCATGGGCTCGTTCCATTGTTGATTAATCATATACTAGATGTCAACTGAACTTTATACTAGATGTCTCTAAATCTTGTTTTTTCATTGACATGGCGTAAAACTTAAATTCTTGTCGTGGGTAGCTCCATTAATTTTGTGATTACAACTTTTTGTATGTCAAAGTGTATACATTTCTTGTTCCTGTTGGCCAACAGTATGATTGGTTTTGGAAACAATCACATCACACTTTTTGTATGATTCTTTTGATTTGTTCAGATGGCAATTTTTTTCTCATGGAAATTCAGTAGATATTCACCACAAACAGCATATATGTATTTGACTCATGCATTTTTGCATGTGCAATTATATTATAGGCACCATGGTAGTTTTAGCAATCAGATCATGACATTTTTCTTATTGAGAACATGGTAGTTTTATTTTAGGTATCATGGCAATTTTATTAGTTAGAGAATTACAGTTTTTCAAATTAGACCATGCCAAAATTATGCGTTATATCATGGCAGTTCTTTTTTTCATGGCACTGTGTTTTGAAAAAAATCACGTGGCAAAGTTTATATATCTTTTTCTTTGTGGTGGTAGGGGGAGGGGCCCAAATAGTATGAATGTTTTTTTCAAATGTTTTCCACAAGGAAATTTTTGCATGAATGTTCTAAATGTTCTCATGGCAATTTACTTATCATAGCAATTATGTAGATAGTCATCATAACATCATAATTTTTTTACTCATGCTAGTAGTGCCATGTGCAACTTTACTATAGGCAGCGTGGCAATTTCACTAATTAGACCATGGCATTTTTACTATTTTAGAACATGGTAGCTTTATCTTAGGTAACATGGTAATTTGTTTAGTTAGACGATGACATTTTTTAATTAGATTGTGGCAATTTTAAGTTATGTACCATGGCAAAATTATTCATTAGATCACGACAATTTCATTATTTACACCATGGCAAAAATATTGATTTCATCAGGTTAGTTTGTTTGGTGGCATGGAAACTTTTTTGGCCATGGCAATTTTATTAAATACCCGAAGGTACTTTTACTTTTCATACCATGTCAATTTTATTAGTTAGGCATTGGTAGTTTACTTTCGCATGGCATTTTTTGTGTGCCATTGAAACTTGTGACATGCAATGTTGTATATGTTATGCAACATGGCATTATTTAAGAATGTCGTTTTTATCATTCTTATACCATGTCAATTTCAATTTATTTAGTATGGCATTTAAAAAAATAGTACATGGCATTTTTTCATGGCAATAATCTTTAGAAATGTTTCCATGTAACCAACAAAGATTTTCCTTCAAAATCATGGAAATTTGTAATTCTATCCTTTTTGTCATATGCCATTTTTGTAATGTTCTAATAGTGTTTCATATATCATCATCAGAATTTTCATATTTTTTTATTATAACCAACATGGCAATTTTATTAATTAGATCATGGCAGTTTCATTAACAAACTACCATGGTGGAAGCCTTTTGTGAAACCAGTGAGTTTTTTAAGAGAAGATATTCTTTAAAGAACATTTTCTTTTGAAATTTGCTATTGGGATCTCCATCTACTACATGACATTTTTATTTTGAAGAGAATGATATTTTTATTATTAGGAACAAGGCAGTTCTACCATTAAGACCATTAGATTTTTTATTAAGGCCATGTCAATTATTTTACCATTATTTTTAGTGGCACAAATATTTTAATTTTTGTATGATGGCAATGTTCTTTGAGTGATTTCTTGTTTTTGAAAAGAGAAAATATAGAGCATGTCATTTCTAATTTTAATGTCATGGCATTTCCATTATTTTTATCATAGCAATTTCCTTTTCTTTTTAAAGAATTTTAATTTTGAATCATCCTCGATCATGACAATTTTCCTTCTCTTTTTATACACCTTTTCAATTTTGCCATGCATGATGGTATTTTCAGTAAAAAATACTAATTTTATATCATTTTGCACCTAGTGGTTTTTGATATACATATTTTCCCCCTTTTTTGCGTTTTTGGATATGTGCTATATATGGAATCCTAGTGTTGTGGTAGTTTCGATAGAATATATGCCATTTTTATTATTAAGAGCATGACCATTTTATCATTAGGACCATGGCATTTTTTTTATTAAGAGCATCACAATTTCTTATCTATAGCATGGTAAATTTATAATGGCATAAAATTTCAAGTATCATGGCGATGTACTTTGTGTGATTTTTATTTCAACAAAGAGAAAATATAGAGCACGGCAATTTTAATTTCTATATCATGGCATTTTCAATTTTAATGTCATGGCATTTCCATTATTTTTGGTAATGGCAATTTCCTTTTTTAAAGCATTTCAATTTTGAATTATCCTCGATCATGACAATTGTCCTTTTTATTTCTTACATATTTAAAAAAATTCATGTATGATAGCATTTTAGTAAAAATATTGTTTTTTGTATCATTTTGGAACTAGCAGTTTTTTAGACATATATTTGTTATTTTTTGTGTCTTTAATATGTGCTATATATGAAATCCCAACGATGTGGCTTTTTATATAATATTTTTCTAAAATAATAGTTACGTCAAATTCTGTAATTTTTCTCTTCTGGGATAAATAAGACTTTTGTTACAGGAATGTACATTACATGATCAATTTTGAACATGACTCTATTTCATTTTGATACATCATTTTTATGTGCTATTTTAATTTGTTATAAAATGAGGTACAAAATACCAGTTTCCAAGTTTTAGTTTTTTTTGGCGATCCAAGTTTTAGTTGCATCACAGGTAATTGGCTTTTTTGGGGGCCCATTGAAGGCTTACATGGAAGGGTTAGCTAGGAGGGTCTCCCTCCCCTACCTACAGAAGGAATTTGCCTCAAAAAAAGAGAAAAACCTACCGAAGGAATAGGAAGTTCAAATGGGACATTCGGTTTCATAGTAAATACATCTCGTGTAGTTCTCAACAACAACAAAAATACATCTCGTGTGTTTTTTCTTATGAAAGAAAAACACATGAGATGTATTTTTTTGTGTTTTCTCCACACTAGTACTTGTAGATATGTACCGTAAGTAATCCGACACATATCTACCAGATGTGGTTCACCTCAAAAAAAAACCAGGTGTGGTAAAAACAATTTCGAACAGACAAAAAAATCCGACACATATCCAAGAGAATCATGAGAGGGACTTCTCGTCTAACACGAAGGGAATCATACTTTGCAAAAAAAACACGTACGTAATCATGCACAATCCCAGCCGATAACCAAACCGCGTCTGTTTCAGTCCGTCTCCCAGCACGGCTCCGCAATCGCAACAAGTTCCTCTCCAAACAAGTATATAAAGCCAGCTCCTCCCGACAATTCAGGTACCAAGTTCGTACGGCGAGAGAAGACGAAGCAGGGCCAAGAAGCATATTGCGTCCAGCTCCTCCACGCATCGTCTACCCACGGCCAGACGGCGAGAATGACCAAGGGGTGCGCCACGTTCTTGGTCGGCAACGACGGCGAGGCACCCCAGAGGTTCGCGGTGCCGGTGACTCTGCTCGGGCACCCGGCGATCGTTGAGCTGCTCGCCGAGGCGTGCGAGAAGTACGGGTACGCGCATGAGGGCGCCATCGTCGTCCCCTGCAGCGTGGAGCGGTTTCAGAGGGCGGTCGACGCGGCGAGGGCCCAAAAACGGCACCATCACAATTTCCGCCTTCCGCACCTCGCCGGATGCTTGAGGTCCCCGCATGTTGTTGCGTAGGATGCTTAGGCGCGGCTTTGCTTCTAGCTAGTTTGTGCGGCCTTTCTTGGATTCTTGGTGCGGTGATCGAATTGATAGACACCCCATGATTGGAGAAAGCTAAGGTAGTACTATGTAGTTGATCGAATCTCCATGGAGCATGCAGATTCCGTCAGCGAAATTTTGTAGCCCCAAGATTAATTAATTGATTGATTCTATACAGTTTTTGTTTGTATATGTGACGAGAATTCGTGGGATCGTTTCGTTGTTGGTCAAAATTATTCTCCGTTTGACTCTTATTCTGACAAATTTGACCAAGTACACTGATCAGGGCGGCCGCGACATGTAATCCGACTGATGCAAACCAAAGGTAAACCGCCTTGTCTGCCGTTAGATAAGATAGATCAGAGCCATCCGCTCGTGTCCAACTCCTCCAGCACACGCTCACAACGCAGTCCCAGCCCTTGCATCTAGCGCTTCGCAACAGACACTCCTCGTAACACCACTCTATACGCGGCAGCCCGGAAGCCCCGACGAGCTGTAGCCGATGGCCAGCTCGCAACACCTGCGCCACCGCACGCTATCTCCCCATTTTTGCTGCAAAGTTATCATCCCTGGAGCTAGCTTGCACGGGCTTAAAGGCTTGAAGCAGTGTGTTGTTCTTCATGGTAGCACCGGCGTGCAGCTTCGGCGGCGCCTCGTAGCGAAAGCCTCACAATATGGCGACGTCCATTCGAGCACGGCAACGACCATCACAAACATCAGACCCATAGCTCCGAACGTCCATTGTCACGACAATGACCATCACAACGGCAAAGCGGCAGCTCCGAACTCTTGTTACAGAAGGACGACCATCACAACAGCCGCACACGGATCCGATGCCCATTGCAGCGCGGCGACGACCATCACAACACCGGCGCGAAGCTTCGGACGCCCTTTCTCACCGGGCGCGACAATCACAGCGTGGAAACGATCATCACAATACCAACGCTAAGCTTCGGACAACCATTGCAGCGCCGCAACGATGATCACAAC